CTCTTCCTGTTCCCCTATCACTGCCAGGTCAGCTCAGGTCTGCTGCTCCCCCCCACACAACAGGCCAGCTTCTCCCCACCCTCGGGCCTGATCCTTCCCTGCATCAGGCCCAGGCCCACTCCTCCGCTCCCCCTGCCACTGCGGTGGGGAGGGGGGAGTGGACCCAGACCCTAAGCAGCAGGAAGTAAAGGGGGAGTGGGCCCAGATGGGGGGGGGCACGTGGCTCCGTCTCTGCCCCCTCCCCCCTCCCCATCATTCCTGAGGGGCAATTACCTAGTATTACAGAAAGGCAGCTCAGGGGTGGAAATGAAGTGGGGCATGCTGGTTTGTGGGGCTCAGTGACCTGGCAACAGTCCGTTCTTACACGTGGAGATCTGCTAAAAGCATGGTGCTATCTAGCATCATCCACACACATCGGTGGTGGTAGTGTTCCACAGCTGCCGCAGTAACCAATAGTGAAGGACTGGAGTGGAGGGCTTTGTTTCACTTGATTTGCTGCTGGGTCTCTTGTGTCCAAGCTACGGATGAATCATTTGGGGGACTTTGGAGATGTAGAACAAGCTGTTGTCATGCTTTCTATTAAAAATTATGTATGGGTTGCCATGGTCCTAAAGAGGCTGTGTTCGGACTGTCAGCTGGGGAATAAAATGCAGAGGTAATTTCATGCAAGAGAGGCCAGGGGAGCAAAGGTCCCCAGCTGAGTACTGTCTGGGTCATTCTGGGGCTTTTCTGTGCAACACCCCTGCCCTATTATTTGATTGACAGTTATTGCCTGAGTCGTACATAAGGACAGAACCTGATCATGGGCTTTCATGTCATGCAGCCAGCACCTGCCTCAAGGTGATGTTTGCAATAGTTCTATTTTTCTAATAAACATAAAACGGCGGCAAGCTGATGTAAATCAGTATTACATCCTTGACTAAAATGGTGCATTATCAGTTTATACCAGATGAAGACAAAAGCTCAAACTCTTAGTGCCCAGGCAAGCCAAGTTATCGTGAGGCTAGGGTGCAGCTTTGTTGTGAGCTAGTTGTTCCACAGTAAGTGGCCTCATACATGCCTGCAGTAGATGAAAGCTTGCCTGCAGCGGCTCGGCACTTTCTCATGTATTTTTCATTAAGGGGTAAGATTTGTTTGCAGCAGGGTACGTAGGAGTGCACAAGGGCAGTTACCACAGAGCAGCTGTCACTCTCTGAGTCTCCACCCTCCTTTACCTCACAGTTCCATGTCCCAGGTGCCCGTGTCCTAAAAAGCCACATGCAGTCATAGCAAAACCCCAGTGGCCTCAATAAAGTTACACCACAGTTTAATTTGGCCCCACATGTCCTGTCCACTTCTAATTTTCATATTTCCCAGGCCCAAAAATATCTTTTCAGCTTCTAGATACTTTGTTCTTAAGGAAACTCATTTGTGTTCTCACAATTAATAAAGAATATGTATATATTATTAATCCAGTTAGAATAGCGAGCCATGGGTGATTATCAAATAATTGATGACAATATAATAGCTTACATCTTTCACCCTGAAGGACCCTTAATTCCTAACCTGAATTCCTAAGGATCCTGAATTCTAATACAGGAGCCACTCAGTCTTACCACCAAAATGCAGCCACTTCTAGGGTAAAATGTAGTAGCTCTTTAACAGCACTTGGCAGCATTGAACAAAAATTTAGGATTGGAAATTTAAAAAAAGAGTGTAGTGCCTTCACTGTGATTGTAGAAAATAAAGCATTTAAATCTGTACCTACCTACACATGTTGAAATCATTAGGACCTTTAGCTGCCCAGCACCTTGCAGGAGTAGGCCAGTATTATCACGGTGCCTCCAACTGGTTATAGATGCTGAATTTTGGGCACCTGCTTTTGAAGCAGGGCCTCTGCTTCCACCTAAATGAGCAAAGTGAAGTTACGGAGGCAAAATGTAATCAATCTAATTGGAATTTGGCCATAACATTAACTAATAATGTCTACTCTTGTGTTAAAAAAAAAAGTTCTGTAAGAACTTTTAATGGTACATTGTTGAGGTCTTGGATAAAGGTGGGAGGTGACCTTGCAAGCTCAAGGTCACTACAAGTGCTTCTAGTATTTTTGCAGGAATAGGATATAATCCTTGATGTCCTGGCCAGATATTGACCCAGGTAATTCTTTTTTTATCTCCTCAACTCCCAGGGTGGCTTCAGTGAGACACAGCATTCTCTGTTTCCCATTTTGAAATTTCTGTATGATGTTGCTGACACAGAATGGCTGAGGGGTACCAATCTAGTGCTAGCTGTATTTCACTGGGTGCTACAGGATGCCAGAAATATATATCTATGTCTGGAATGTACTTTGGGATGAAAGGTGTTGCTGTATGGATATTAGGGCTGTGTGAAATTTCGGCAGCTATTTCATTCGGTGGTGTTTCGGGCCATTTCAGCACCTGAAACACCGAATCTGAATCAAAACAGAAGGCTCCAAAACAGCTCTGAAATGAATCAGAAGGCTCCAAAATGTGTTGGAGAACTTCGGGGTTTTGGAGCCCGGCTTGCAGGAAAATAAAAACTAAGAAGAGGGAGGAGGGGAAGGACTGCTCTGATATTGACATTTAGCTCCTGGTTCCCCAGCTCTCTGATCATTTCCCCAGCTCTTCCCAGGGAGGTGTGGGCCCCCGCTCGGTGCCCATGGTTTCAACAGGCTGCTGCTGCAGGCTGGGACCTGTGGCAGCCGCTTGGTGCAGCCCACGCTGAGCGCACTGCGGTGCTGCCGCTGGCCCCAGCCTGCAGTGGCAGTTTGCTGAAACCCGGCATGCAGATCCGAGGGGCCATGCCCCCCAGGAAGAGCAGGAGGAATCAAACTAAGAGCTGGATAATCAAACCAGGAGCTGGGTAGTCCCTTGCTCCACAGGGAGTAGAGATCCATGCCATCGTCTCCTCCCTGTTGCTGCCTGCTCTGTGCATCCCCAGATCTGTGATCCCCCCAGAGCCAGGTTGCACAGCAGGGACCAGCACTGCCCTGCCGTATGACCTGGCTCTGCAGGGAGTAGAGATCCGCTGGGGTCTCCTCACCGCTGCTGCCCGCCCCACACAGCCCCACGTTGCGGGGGCAATGTGGCACAGGCAACAGTGGTGAGGAGACCCCTGGCATGGATCTATGCTCCCTGTGGAGCCAAGTCACATGGCAGGGACCAGCAGACTTGCTCGCCTCTTTGCACTGCTTCCCTGCCCCACGACCTGGCATGACAGGGATCAGAAATCTGCACATAGGTCTCCTCACCTGCACAGAGGGTGGCAGCCCTCCCTCTCCCCTGGATGAGCCACCCACTGCCCCATCCTACTCCCTGCTGGGGCTCCAAGGCCCCGGCCCCAAGCCCCACCCAGCTGGGTAGGACTGTGTGAAGCTTCCCTTGCAGCCTGTTCAAAACAGATTTGGAAAAGATTTGGCGGAGCTGACTCTCCAAAACAGATTCAGCGAAACAAAATGGGACAATGATCTGAAACACCAAAATGAATCACTGTCCTCCAAAACGGCCAAATCCAAAACTGAATCAAAGCACAGCCATTGCGTGCAGCCCCAGTGGATGTGTAAAATCATTATATACCAGGTAGAAAAGCTACTTATCCTCTAGAACTTTCCCTGTCCTGGTGAAACTAACCCTGCTACATATCTTTTGCTCTTCTTAGTTCATATCCAAAAACAATCATGAGTAAAAAAAAATAAACTCAGCCCACCCAATGAAAGGAGGTTTTTTCACCCTTTTGAGTCTACTGGATAGTTTGCAATGAAGAACTGGGTAAGATACAGTTTGGTTCACTCTCCTCTCTCCCTCCAGGAATACACCATTGATGTTTTTTTCCGTCAGTCTTGGAGAGATGAAAGGCTAAAGTTTGATGGCCCCATGAAGGTCCTACCCCTCAACAACCTGCTGGCCAGCAAGATCTGGACCCCTGACACCTTCTTTCACAATGGCAAGAAATCAGTAGCCCACAACATGACCACGCCCAACAAGCTTCTGCGCCTGGTGGACAATGGCACCCTCCTGTACACCATGAGGTAGGTGTATGTCTCCTGGTCCCTGATAGAACCAGGGTACGCCCATGGATTTACAAATTCCTATGCATAGGTGGAGCCCAGGTAGAGCGTATGGTGTGATCTTACAGTATGCTATAGCCAGGGCTATGCATATTCCCTACTGTACCAGTGTATTTCATCCCTAACCTATAGCTTTCCTGGCTACCCTCATCCAGTTCTACTGAGTGCAGCTCCATGAAGACATTTCAGTCCTGACATACCACATTCCATTGTATGACCACTGGCCCTCTCCTAGGTGGAAAGTGGAAACCACTAATGTCAAATTGCAGGGGGAGCTATGGAGAATCGCTGTATTTTCCAACTTATTTTGACATCCAACTTCTTACAGGATATAGCCTCAGCCCTCTATTATTGGTGGGAGAATATCAGGCAGTATGGTTTTGATGTGCAGCTCAAATGGCCCACTCGATCGATAAGAGGCCTTTGAACACTCTAGTGAGATCAAGATAGCTTGTGAGACTTTTTTTTTTCCATTCCACATTCTATCCAGAATCTAGAAATGCCTTATAATTTTGATCATTAGTCAGGAAAAAGTTAATCAAACTCTGAAGGCCATTTTGGGGTCAGTTTGGAGCCTGATGGTTTGAAGGGAATGGTAACATCTTGTTCTCTAAATCTGTAGTATGATAGAGCATTGTCTGGAGACTGAATTACCCAACTCCCCATTCTTAGGGAGAGATTTTCAGTGCAGGCTTGTGGACCCCAAGTGGGGTAGGAGGGACATATAGGCCAAATATGCAGAAAATGAACTGACAGACACTCTTGAATTCAACCTGTACCAGAGATCAGCACATATCAGATTAGTCCCACAAAGTAACTTAGTTGCCAAAAAGCATCCTTGGCACCTAAGTGCAACTTCTAAGCTTCACTGATATCCATAAGCTCCCTCCCCTCCCCTGCCTACCCTTATAGCTTCCTACAAGGGGTATAAGAATGGGGCACGGCAAATGGGGTGCCTGCTTCTTACAGGGGCAGCTGTGACTTGTCTGGACAGCATGTCAATACACCGTGCAGGCACTTTTTCAGATAATTATTGCCTTCCTGGCAAAACCTGTCACCATCAGGACATATTCTAGGAAAATCTTATTTCTCATGTTTTCCACAAATAACAATAGACAATGTATTTCTTCTGCATCTGGTGCCATTAAGGGAAAAACACTGGAACAACACAGTCACATATATAGAGACATCCAAGCAAGTTTTGAATGACTTACCAGAAGCAGTATAGCTGGGTTAACCTGGCAGCCTGCCTGAGCTACTAAGCTCTTCTCAGGACTAATGCAGTTCTAGTGCTTCTAATACCAAAGCCTGCTCCTTCAGAGGTAGCTTGGGTATCTTTGCGTGCATTGTGCTATGTAGACATTACCCTTGGACTGAGCTGCAACCACATATATAGTGTGCAAATATAATGAGCATGTTTGTTTTCACTGGATATCCTTTCAGGAGCTAGTTACATGCATTCCATAGGTTTGGAAACTGTTTGTCCTTATAAAAAAAATGGTTCTCAGTCTGTGGTTAATGGACTGAGTTACCTTTCAAGGTGAGGAGGTCTACGCATGAAACAACAACCCACTTGCAAATGTAACGTAAGGTCCACATAGATATTGATGGGAGAGTGTAAATCTTAGATTTCAAAAATTGTCTTTAGTGTGTCTGCCTTCAGACAGCTCCTAAATAATAACATACATCAGCGGTTGTCAACCGGGCTTACGCATACCCCTAGGGGTACTTAAAAGTGTTGTGGGGAGTATGTGGGTGAGTGTGTGCAAGCAGCCACAGTGCAGCACGTGGACGGCCAGGAGTGCAGCCTGGCCACATGGAGAGTAGCCAGGTCCTGCTGGTAAGTTTGTTGTGGGGGAAGGGAATGGGGCTGGGGAAAGGGCTGCCCTGCCAGGGCAGGGTGGCTCCTGCCGCTATGCACACCATGGGAGAGCATGGGGGCGCGTACCCCTGGATCTGCGTGTGGGGCAGGGTGGGCCAGGGCCATGCTAGGCACTTCCCAGCAGGGGACTGGGCCAGACTGCACTCAGGGTGGGTGGCAGTGGTGCTGGGAGGGAGGGCTGGGGGGCTGTGGTGAATTTTGGGGTGCGTGTAGTTCCCTCCCCATAGCCCCACTCCTGTAGTCCCCCTTGGTGAGGGAGGGAGTGGGGTTGGGGCTGGGGCTGGAGTAAGGACAGGTGCTGCCCAGTCAGGCCCTCCCAGGGAACACATAGTGTTGCCCTGTGGGGTCAGGCCAACTTGCAGGATCTCAATATTGGGCTGTTAGACAGGAGGGTGTGACACAATTGCACATATACAAACACACAAGTCAATTAGGTGCACACACACACACACACACTACCAGCTCAGGCACATACACATCCAAACCAGCCTAGGCACATGCATACCTATCACCAATTCAAACACATACACTATACACCCCAAAAGTTAGACACAGATCACTAATTTGTATATCATGCACAAAATGACATATATATACACACACACTTACCAGTTCACACACATACAACTCACCTACACATACACATAGGTAAGTTCCTAACTTGGATGGTGCAGTGTATATGTGTGTGCTTGGGGTACCTGGGATACTTGGGGGAAGGTTCAGGCGAGAGAGAGAGAGTTAGTGTAGAGAGTAAAAGTTGCCAGAGCCAGGATTAGAACTGGTGGACTACAGAGAAGCTGGCTGAGGAACTGAGGCTTGGGTTTACTTAAGGTAGACTGGGGCTGGAAACTGAGGCAGACAGCTGAGATATTGGGGGGCGGGGGAGCAGATAAGTGGTGGCAAGGAGGAGACAGCCAGAAAATAAACTGAGGCAGAAACCTGGTTGCAGGGGAAAAGGCAAAGGCAGTGGGGATAAGACAGTGGCAAAGAAACGGGGGTTTGGAGGCAGAGAGGAGCTCGGGACAGGTGTTGGAGGTGGCAGTGAGCCAGAAGCAGGAGAGGGAGAAATGAAACAGAAGTTAGAGGGGCAAGGAGCAGAGATTGGAGCAGGGCCAAACCATAGTAAAGCAAAACCCAATTTAGGGGTCCAAATAACAGTTTTATTAAACAGACAACATACTACACAGCCCCATGAAGTTACTGGTTCACACATACACACACACACACACACACACACACACACACACAAGCACTCCAATGGCAGCAGGGGAAAGAGACTCAGTGGAGGGGTGGGAGT